CTATCTTCCTCCCCTTCTCTCCTTGCACGTTTTCTTCCACGTTGTTTTTTGCCCTTTTGTTCTTTTATTTTTGATGCTTGTAGCACTCCATGCACACCAACTGTTTGACAAAATGCCAATATGTTGTAAACAGTAGCCACACAACAATGGCTGACGGTACACCAGACAAGCCGCCAAGCCAAGCCACTAGATGGCTGTCACACCCTCCCCTCAACCCTTTACCAAAGCCATCACAATATCCCTTCTTACCCGATGCCCAATACCTTTGTAGCCCAGCATTCCCCCTGCATCAGTACCTTAACTTTTTGCCAAAACCCCCACAATCAACATACTAACCCAGTAATCACCCTCAAAAATCATTCTCGAATATCCATACCTGCATTCACTCCACAACTCTCTTACAAAGATGCCCTCAGCACAGGAAATATTAGGGATGTTTGTGCTTCCTCATGGTAGAATTTTGATTTTAATACAAAAGGTGAAATTGAAGATGAGTCAATGAGCCCCCGAGTCAATTTGTCCAAAGAAGATAAGGAAAGAATCCGATAGCCTTGGGATAACACTATTGTCTTCAAGACCTATGGGCGAAGGTATAACTATCAATACCTAATCGAAAAATTGGTGACCTTATGGAAAATTAAAGAAAAAATGGAATATATAGCCTTAGATGAAGGCTACGATGATCCTCGCTTCCAATCAGTTGGTTATGCCACAAGGATACTCACTGGAGGCCCATGGTTCATCAGGCAATAATTCATTGGAGTTAGACAATGGGAGCCAAATTTCCAACCATCAGCTGCAGAAACCAACACTACGGTACTTTGGGTTTGCCTACCTGACTTGCCTATTGAGTATTACGACTCTTTCACCCTTAAGGTAATAGGGCTCAAGATTGATGCTATAATCGAAGGCATATCTAGAGGGAGATTTGCAAGGCTTTGTGTTCAAATAAACACATCCATACCTTTGGTATCACATGTTTTCATTGCTAAGCACAAGCAACAGGTTGTGTATGAAGGTCTTAGGAAAATATGCTTTGGATGTGGTCATCTTGGTTATGAGAGTGAAGCTTGGAGCAGCAGACTACCTACTTTCACACACCCTCAACAAGAGACTCTGGGGCAGTCAAGGCAGACCCAAAAAACCTACAGCAATAAAGAAGACGATTTTGGGCCTTGGCTTTTAGTGCCAAGCAAGAAATTGGAAAAGGAATTAGGCAAAACAAAAGGTCCAATTTTAAGCACCCAAACCATAGTTTTAACTCCAACTCTTAAGGGAAACGAGTTTGGAGGATAAAGGAAGAAGAAACTCCTAGTGAGGTAAGTGTTGCTGCTACCACTAAGCAAAGTTATTCTAATTTCGAGGAGCAGGGCATTGCATCAATTACGGAGAATGAAATTAAGGAGCACTTATGCCTGCTTCCACCAGAGTTAGGGAAAGTTGTGCTCAGAGATCAGTCACCATTGCATAGTACACAAATTCATCTTGAAAATCAATTCGAAGCTCTACAAGTAGATGACAAAGTGCACCAAACCAAGCAAACCAACAATCCTTACATTCTCCACCTCAAAATGTTGAGTAACAAAGTGATACACAACATAGTACCTTTTAACGCCAAAGAAAAATAGAGGAAATAGAACAGAATGTAAAGGAGACGACTCTGACGATGGGGATGGAGGGGATAGTTTTCTATCCAACGATTCATAGCAATCCATGGTTGAATTTTCATTGGAACTGGCTTCTGCAAAACTTGCATTATCGAAAATGTTTCAAGGCTATGGAACGAATTCTCGTCAAAAAGCTTAGGGACGAAAGTCATCTGCAAGACCTCTTATTAAAAGGCATAAATGACAGAATTGGAGCAAGTAGATAGTCTCTTGGATACATCATGATATCTTTTTTGTTTTTAACTTTATACACCTGATCTCTGTGGGATTGATTTGCTTTATAGAATATGTTCAGAGTACTATGTAAGACCTTCGGGTATGTGTTGAGATTTAGTGTTCAATTATATACATGATCATTCAGGTATATCATACCAATATATACATCAACGAGATAGATATATTATTATTTAATTGAGTAGAAGATACATATACGTCATTACAAGTACATAATTACATAAAACTTAACTGTTGCGATATCGGTATATTCTAAATTACTTGACCCATGAATTTGAAATTCAAAATTGATATACAAACACCACAAAATCTTCAATAACAAACGCATAAAAAAGAAAATTAACTGTATTTTACGCTTAAATCATGCGATGAGGGTAAAATGAATAATGAAAATACACTAACTACCAAACTCTTATACGTTGGTTAGTGTCCACTTGCAACTTTTTGCAAGTGTCAACCTCCTACCTTTCTCGGTGTACTAGTAATTGCAATTGGAAGAGTTGAAGCCAACTTCAATCATTCTTCAATTGGCGGACTGAAGTGTGAGAACACCAAGGGGAGTAATTGAGGATGTTTTTGACAAATTTTATTTTTCCGTTGATTTTATTGTATTTGATACTCATCCGGTTGCTAATCATAGTTCTCAAATTCTTGTCATTCTAAGTAAGTCTTTCCTTGCTACATCTAATACTGTGATCAATTGTAGGAATGGATTAATGAGGCTTGCATTTGGGAACATGACGATGGATCTCAATGTGTTTAACTTTTGCAAGCAACTGGATGATGATGAGGAAGTATATGAGGTCTTGACACTCTGGTGGGGGACCATATGGAATTACTTTGCCATTCAAATTTGGGAGATGAAGATTTTGTTGATGAAAAGGAACCGAAAACTCTACAAGGGGTAGGCAGTTGGGCCCCAACATTTGAGAAATTTCCACAACAATAAAAAAGAATTTTCCCATCAACTGTACAAACACCAAATTTGGAATTGAAATCACTAACTTTCCACATTGAAGTATGCATTTCTCGGGGAGCACAAGGCATTCCCAGTGGTGATAAATTCGTCCTTGGAGCCGACGCAAGAAGAGAAATTGTTGGAGGTATTGAGAAGGCATAAGAACGCAATAGGTTGGACAATTGCAGATATCAAAGGAATTAGTCCCCTCATTTGCGCACACTAAATCTACTTGGAGGAAGACGTCAAACCGTCCCGACAGTCACAAATGAGGCTAAATCCTATCATGAAGGATGTGATGGGAAAATCTTTTATATATTAAAAATTCAGTAGGATTAAAATTGGTTTACACAAAAAAAAAAACCCTTAGCCTAATTATTTATAAAAAATAAGGGTGAAATAACATGACACTTCCTCGCATTTGTATTTATTAGCGACATCATGTGTAATTTTTTTTTGATAGAGTTGGTTGATTCAACTATTCACATTTATTTAGTCAGTTTTTTTTTGTAAATACATCATTTCTCTAGAATGATTAGCTACACCAAGACGGAGACATGACCTAGACTGTCACGAGAGGTTAGCAGTGAGAAATTTTGGACAATGAACGAAAATCGAATCCAATAATTTCTTGTGAGTGAAGAGAACAATGTTGCTTATAAAATTTTTTCGTCGAGTACACGATTATGACAAAATTCGAGGAAAACGACTCTGTCAACTCCGTGGCAACAACACCCGTAAGAGAGGGGGGGGGGGGGGGGGGAAGTGTTCTTCGACCAGATGGGCCCAAAAGGCACGTAGGCTTTTTACTATTGAACAATCCAAATCCAAACTAAACTCTTTAACACAAGACCAACATTTGATTAGTTTATATTTATTTTTGTTGAATTACTAACGGATAGAGATGCCAGTGGATCAAAGTGGGGGGTGAGGGAGTGTAATTTTTATTCCTGTACCCGCTTAAAAAAATTCCGTCCATCCCCGTCCGCGGGTAAATTTCTAATCCTTGTCACCGTCCCCCGCTTTCCCCGTACCCGCCTAAGCCCAAACTCAAGTAACATAATCCAAAATTCTAAATAGATCTAATGTTTTAAATAATCCAAAAATATTCTAACATAATCTAACACAACATAATGTAGATTACAAAATGTAAAAGTCAAAACAATGTAATATTCTATTTAAAGTGTTATTCGACCACAAAAAGAGAAATGAAATTATTAGAGAGAAAGGAAGAAAAGAAAAATAAAATTGAATTAAGCAAATAATAGCACTACACTTGAATTTTTGTAGAAGAGTTTTTGTTATTACAATTCATATTACAATCATAAAATGTTAAAAGATGAAAAATTAAAATTTTGCTAATTCAATAATTCTATCAACGATGAAATGAAAAACTATCTTATATGTTTTTAGAGCATGATCAATCCAAACTTCTAACAGTTTTAATCAGTGAGCACATATAGAAAAAAGAACAATTAAGAAAAAAAGTTAATAAGATTACCGCATAGCAATGTCACTTTTTAGTTTAATTATTATATTTCTAAATTGGTAGTTACAGTAAATATGATTAGTTAGGTCTTTGGAGTATTTATATATATATAAATATTTAATAGGTAGCATGGGCAGGGCGGGGCGGAGATAAGGGTAAGTCCATTCCCGCCCTCATCCCCATACGGGTTTATACGAATATTTTCATATACGTCTACCGTCTAATACATATAATTCATCACCGATTTAAATAAAAAAAATTTGAACAAATATCCATTTTTTTTCCATCCACCGTCATCCCTACTAACAGACCTAACAACCATAATTTCCTCAAAACCCAGTTCGTTGTCCACTCACACCATCATGATTCATGGCCAAACTCAAGAAACAGGTAGTCAATCTGTACAATGCAACTATCAACTATGCACATAAAATCAAGGGTAAATTATATTTTGGACCCTAAAAAATTTATTTTGTACTTTTAAACATAAGAATTTTTACATTGAATTTTGATACATTAAAAGTGTTACAATATGTCTCTTATATTAGCTTCTGTTGTTCGTTATGTCGATCTCATTAACATAATTTTCGACGAAATAAGCAATGAAAAATAATAAAAGAGTTACATTATAACACTTTTAATAAATTAAGTATGCAATGCGAAAAATTTAATTTCGAGGGTATAATTTGATAATTGTTAAACCTTTTGGGTACAAAGTGTGATTCCCTCTAAAATCAAAATCCACTTTCAAACGTGAACCAAATCACATGCTTTCCACGACCACTACTCCATAAGCTCATTTGACTATATAGCGCAATCAAAATCATCCAGGTCACACAAAAACCTTGTTTTTATTCCCAGCAACAAAGGTCAACTATAGACACGTGCAATCCATGTGACATCTCCGTACGTGGCAAGCGGACAAGACTTTAACCATGGTAAGAGAGTGGTACCACCCACACTGGATAAGAGCTCATCGCATTAAATTCCCAAATGCTGACGTGTCTTTCGCCCACAAACTCCATCGACAAACCGTAAAGAAGACGGGACGCAGACGCACCACAAACCCCCTCAGTCAACCACTACGCATTCCTACTTCACTTTAAACCCCTCAATAAACAACCAAAAACCACCGCCACCGCCATCAACAGACCCAAGCACTCGTCAAACCACCATGATCAGCATAGCCCCTGCTCCATCACCGGAACATTACGATACACAGTGGGCCCCATCACCTTCCATGGCATATATGCACCAATCCTCGTCACCACCGCCGTTGCCGTCCAAATCTTCCATCGATTTCAGTCCACCGTTGATAGTTATGGTGGTAATCATCGCCACCGCTTTTGTCATCATCACTTACTCACGCCTAATCTCTCGCCACATGCTCCACCTCCACCGTCGCTACCGCCGGTGGCGCCGGCGCCGTCCCCCGTCCTCCTCCGTCGGTGACATCGAATCTCAGTCCCTTCCTTACTCCTTCGATCCATCAGACGCGTTTCATGTCCTTTCGCCGTACGGCCTCGACGAGTCCGTCATCAAAACCATTCCTCTTTCGATATACACCAGAAAATCCAACGTCCATGAATGCGCAGTGTGTCTTCTGGAGTTCGAAGAGAACGACTATGTCCGAACACTTCCGGTTTGTTCGCACGCGTTTCACGTGGACTGTATCGACATATGGCTTCGTTCTCACGCGAATTGTCCTCTGTGTCGTGCTGTAATATTCCGGCCGGAATCGCCTTTTGTTCCAGTGATGGCCGCGAGAATTCGGCCAAGCCTCGATGATATAATCATGGCAAGCACAATTCTCGAACCGTTGAATGAATCTCCGCCGGAAAATGACGCAAGTTTCGGAGAAATCACGCACGAGGCTTCGCCAAGAAGGAACAACCAGTCAGAGGACCGATTCAACGGCCGCGATTTTCTGTTGAAGAGATCGTACTCGTTCGGATTTGAGCGCAATTTAGGGTCGGAGAGGTTGGTGCTAGAGCCTGCGACGGCGTCGCCGTGGCGGTATAGACGAGGAGGTGGTTTCTGGAGCAAACGCCCATCCCCGTTCAGTTCGTTAACGAAGCCTAGGGTGTTCTCTTTCAGATACTACAGAGGAATGAAGTCTCCATTTTTCCGGCGGCGTAGCGGTGGTGGCTTTTTTCCGTTGTCAGAATCAAGTGTTAGGTACGCCGGCTCAGCCGGAGGCGGTGGCTCTTCGCGGCGGAGTAAATCGTTCGCGAGCCCGATGTTCATGAGATCGTCGGCTTCGGTGGCAGCTGGGCTGTTTTCATCGAGCCGGCTGAGGAGTGGTGATCCAGAGGCTTTGCTGTCACCTGAGAGATTTAACAGACGGTAGGATTGAGACCCACGTGGGAGACAATGTTTTTGATCATCGGGAAATGAACGGTCGGAGATGGGGGTGAGGGTGACGAGGAGGAGCGGGGCGTGGTGGTGGAGATGGGGTCAGGGGGCTTTAATGGAGGGTTGGCAAGCGTGAATTAAATGAGGGTTTTAGGGCAGCGGGTAGTTTCGTGTAAGGCGGTCATTAATGGTGAGAGGTGGTGGCATTTAATGAAGAAATTGACGAGAAGGGTTTTGATTATTGATTCACGGTCACACATGGAGAAAGAGTTCACAGGTCACTTTCTCTCTCTCTAAACTCTTTATCTCTCTATGTGTATATATATATGATAGGAGAGAAGTATATATATATATACAGGATTCTTTGTTGCAGTGAACCCGTAGTGTGGGAGATGAGTGGGTAATCATAAATGTGAAGAGCTGGCTGGGCCTTTGCTTTCAATTTCTCTTTTTCTTGTTTTGGGAATGCGGGAAATTGATGATTTGGATTCTCGCATCGGCTTTTATGGTGGTTTTTGATTTGATACCATATCTCTCTCTTTCACACTCTGTCTCTCTCTCCGGATATAGATTCTGGCATCGCCTTTTATGGTGTTTTGTTAATTTTTTTTAATGAATACATAAAGATATCTATTATAGAGTTAGTAGTTTTAATCTTATTTCTATTATATATATTTTGTCTATTTTTATTACATTCTTTTTTTTATTTTATCTTATTTTAAATTAATTTGTCACTTAATATAATTTTTATTGTAGACATTGTTATACATATGTTGATTTTTTTTAAAGATAAATTATTTTGTGAAAATTGTCACTTTTTTTTTAAACAAAAAAATACAAGTATAAATTAATTTCAAAATTTAATTTAATTTTATATAATAAGATCGATATTTTGAGTGTTTAGATTTTATATTACATTGTGTCTTCAAGTAAATTATGCATAGTAAATACTTCATATATATTTTGAATATGACGTTATTGAAATATGAAACTCACACCACGTAGTATACAAAGAGTTGGGCTTCGATTAATGTTTTCCTTTCAGACAAGGGAAACAATATTGGGTGTATAAGTGACACCATATTATCATCCTCGCGTATTCAATAATAAGATAACAAATGGGCAAAAAAATCTCAACTATCTATGTGAGATTCACTTATTTACAAGTCAACGTGATGACATGAGTAATCTTTGCATTCAATGTTTAGTCTGATGAGGGGTGGGATTATGTTATGTTAATGATTAGGTGATTTTAATATTGGGGGGTAAGACTGCACCTGTTTTGTCATTCTACATTCATCAATATTAGTTATTGATTTTCAGATAATAATTTATAATCTTTAGTTGAGAAATAATAAAAAATTATACAAGCATGGCATTTTTATTAGTTAAAAAATAAAAATACGGTCCAAAAATATTTTTCGATAAATGGGCTCTTAATATTGATGTCTTTCGGTTTATTTTTCTATATTTTTTTTTATGAGATAAGAGTTAAAAATTGATAAGATGATGCACTATGATAGCAACTTATTCGTGTTGAATGGTGACAAACTAGTGTTTGGTTGTTAGTGTAAAATTAACCAGACGTTGGATTGATCAGCAGTTGTCTTTTTTTTCTAATTGAATGTGAAATAGTGGATCTTTGATTGAGTCCTGCTTATAATCCAATGGAAGGTATTATGGAATATTAGTTAATGAAAAACAAATCATTAGAGGTATATATTACCAATTTAATGTGTTTTTTTCTGTCACGTTGAGACATAAAATCTAAGAGGGGGATGTATATGCAATTTCAAGAATGATGAGGGTATCCCTTGAAAAAAAGAACATGAGACTGAGATGTTATTGGGAAAAAAAATAAAAATTGCTATTTATGCATGTTTCAAAGAAAGACTTTTTCATGTTTTTCATTTGATCGAAGAAGAAATTATTTAAAATATGTTTAAATTGATCTAGATATTCCTCACCGTTACAAAAAAAAAAAAAAAAAAGACTTCGTCGAGATTAGTGAAAGACCTAATAGTTTCTGCTGCCGCTTTCGGCCTTAAGGTCGTGACTTGAATGTCGTAATTTTTCTCCTGCTTGATAAAAAAGAAAAAAAGAAACAGAAGGTATTGAAGCTACTCTGACATTTGCCCAGGAGAACATCATTGTTCTATTATCATTGAAGGAGATGCTCACAACCTTATTCAAAGTAAGATGCAATGGGTGTCAATTTTCGGTGTGGGATCTCTTACAATTTAGGTGGGATACATTATATATTAGTGAGTAGCTTAATAAAATGTGGTGAGTGGTTTACCAAAGAAGGAAAAAATAGTGAAGAGGCTCTAAATCTTGTCTTTACTACTTCTCGATTTGTGACTGTTATCTTTTCAAAACAGTCATACTAATCTTCTATGTATCGTTTCAATTTTATTGAATGTCCCCAAAGAGATAATTTTTTTCCTTTACTAAGGTGTAATTTGGACAAATAATCCTTTTTGTGACTCGATTATGAATATTTTGATTGGAATTTGTGTTGCTTAGGTTGAGTTTAGGGATAAAAAAACTTAACTTGATATAAATTTAGATGGTATTCAAAGTTCTTGAGTTTCCTAACACAAGCTAAACCCACCCTTAATTAGTAATTTCTACTTTAGCCCAAATCTCAGTTGAGAATCTAATTTGGAAATTGAACTCCTTATTAATTAAATCCAATTTTGTCAACTCAAGTTGTGCAATCTGAGTTCAAAATTTAAGCATGGATGATAGTTGAGTTGAAGGATTCGAGTTTTGTTCAAGTTCGGGTTGGTGTAAACACTCTAATAAATTGTGATACAAGCCTTTCGCAGTCACCAAATTCACATCTATCTATCTATATATCTATTATAAAGTGTAGTTGTTGGCTTATTTTTATCGAATCGAAAAAAAAAATAATCAAAATGTGCATAAATTAATCTGAACAGTTCTTACAATTGAACCCAACCAAAAAAAAGAGTATAGCTTTTTTGGTCAAATTTCTTCTTGTAGCTAAGCTAAGCTTGGTTTCACACGCGTGAAAATTTATTTGTTGACCTCTATATATAAACGGGCTGGCATGCATGATAGAATATGGTGTTTAAGGAGGCTCATCCATTTGGTTCCACCAGGCCTGCCTTAAATCTCCAAATTTATTGTAGATGATACCTCAAAATAAATCTCAAGTACCAGCTCAGGAGGTCAGACTAGGCAAGCAGAACTTGGAAGAGTAGAACTGAAGGTCCCTTCGAGATAAGCAAGGGCAAGAACAACCAAGGTAACAACTAGATAATCACGAGAGGTTCCTAAAGTGTTAGAAAGCTATAATCAAGGCACCTAATCTCAACCAACCAAGATCTTCTCTTAGAATTAGGGAGAATCACACGAAGTAAAGACAAGAATCTCGGTCAAGATCCCACTTAGCAGGGAATGACCCTATAAATGCACTGTAACACCTTTTAACAGGGAGAGAACCCTAGTGGCAATAGAAAGTCATAGCAACTTTGTAATCATCATGAATAAAACAAAAGGAGCAAGAACCTCCATTGAAGAGTGGACTAGACGAGCTCCTAAGCCGGTGAACCATTATATTTTCATTGTGTGCACCCCTTTAATCCCCGGGAATACTTCACGGTAGCATCATACACGAGCCTCGTAGCTCTGATCGATGCTCATCTCAAATTACTTTCACCTTAAGCTCATCCACGTTGATATACGTCATCAGTTTGGTGCCGTCTGTGGGAACGACTGTTCCTGTTACAAATAAAGCTAATTTTTCAGTGACTGATGGTATCAACGCGAAACATGAGCCGAAGTCAGACCAATCCTCTACGGATGCAAGATCAACAGGAAGCCGCAAATAATAGGTAACTTGAAAATGCACAAGAAGCCAATCCCCCCATGGGGGGCCTTCCCATGAATAATGAGATGAAGGCCCTTCGTCTTGTTAATGAATGTTTGATAAAACAGAACGAAGAACTCTTAAAGCTCCTACAACGCCCACAAGAGGCGTGACCGGCCCAAGGAGGCCAGAATAATTCACCACCAAGGGAGCAACCATATCTCGACCTTCTCAAAGAAGTTAATGAGGTGGGAGAGAATAGTCATACCTTGGGGCAAGAACCTCGCCTACCCCCTAGGAATGGTCACAACGAAAAAATGCAAAGTTAATAAAAGGAAAGGGACAGGAACGACTTTTTCCCTTATCAACAGGAGAGAAGAGAACACCACTGGAAACAACGTTTCAAAGACATCCAGCAAGAGCTCAGCCAGATGAAGGAGGCAGTGAAGAGTAAGGCTCCAATCACTATGGATGTCTTGGTGCAGCAAATCGAATCCCCATTCACTGTTGGGGTACTGCATTTTCCTCTCCCACCTAAATTCAGAATGCCGCAGATGGATGCTTTCGATGGGACAAAAGATCCCGTGGACTATCTCAACACCTACAAGAAACCAAATGGAGTTGCATGAATATCAAGATCCAGTGAGATGCAGGGCCTTTGCTATCACCCTGAAGGGCTCAGCCTTAGCATGGTTCAACAGACTCCCCACAGCCTCAATTTCCTATTTTAAGGAGCTGTCAATCTCGTTTGTGTCCCACTTCATTGGAACTCGGACCTATAGGAAACTGAGCTATCATTTGTTAAATGTGAAATAGGACCCTTATGAGAACCTACGGTCTTATGTCCAACGGTTCAACTTAGAATCCTTGAAGGTGGATGTCCTAAACGAAAAATTTGCTATTACAGTCTTCATAGCAGGTCTGGGAGTTCAGTCAAAAGATCTGATGTTTTCCATCTCAAAAAACCCCCAGGCTAGTATGGCGGAGGTGCTTGCCAAAGCGAAAAAGTACATAAATGGTGAGGAAACGCTCCTCTCCAAGGTTGGGAGCCCTTCGTCGAGAAAGGAGAAAGGGAAGAAAGAAAATAAGAGAGAACAAAGTCCCAGAAAGGAAAGAGAACGAGGCAGGTCTCCAAGAAGAGACAAAGAGCGTTCCCCGAAGAGAAGAGAAAATGTCAGGGATCGCCTTGGCCCTCCATAATCAGAGCTACAACCAAGGTATGCACCCTAATAGCTCACCCCCTAACTGCTGTGGTGTCTAAAATACTGTATGAGGTACAAAATGAGAAGTTCTTAAAGTGGCCACCCTGGATGAAAGCAGACCCAGCAAAAAGGGATCCTACGAAGTATTGTGACTTCCACAGAGACCATGGTCATCACACTGACGACTGTATCCAATTGAAGAGGAAAATAGAATTTCTAATCCAGCGAGGCAACTGCGACGCTATGTGGCCAATGATAATCAAAATCGAGCTCTCCCACATTTACCCCCTCAGCATCAAGCACCAAAACCACACCAACAACCTGTGAGGGAGATCAGAGTGATATCTGGAGGATTTGCTGGAGGAAGAGAGTGCCGCTCTGCCAGAAAAGATCACTTGAGAAAAATCAGAGCCACAGAAGCTCCCGAAGTATATACTGTGTCTAAGTCTCCACGCTTAGACACGGCTATCAATTTCTCATATTCAGATCTGGAGGGCTGCCAACATCCCCATGATGA